ATCGAACCCGCGCCACACAACGTTAGGCCCAGAAGCATTGACCACTCGACCCGCGCCACTGGGTCCGCCTGTATACTCAATGGGGTGAGCGCTTAAGTAGCGGAGCTAATATTGACCAAAATGACAGTATCTAGAAATCTGTGTGTTTGAATATTTTTGACTTGAGCTGCGCAAAACGTGGACTATGTGCTGGATCAAAAAGCTCAGTCGACTCACTTCTTTCAGCTCTGCAAACGGGTACGATTGCTAATTGGCAATGGATGACGATATAGACTGCACCAAAACCGACATGACTTAAGCAGATTATTAACCAGTAAATTCCGAGTGATGGCTCAGTCGGTGGGCTTTTTTTAATTTATGCATCTCAGACGTCAGCAACAGAAGGTTGTGCGCCTTCGCAGTCGACGCATCACCCCTCCATGCTTTCATGCAATACCCCTTTCATTATTACGTGCGCAGTTGCCGTTGGTACGTTGCGTTATTATTAATTTGTATAGTTGCACGAAATACGACTGACGTATTAATTGTCCCCAGCTACGCGAGGTGTCCACATGGGCTCTGGCGGCTGATGGGTTGCAGCAAAAGCTGAAGGGTCTTAAACAACGCACAATCTGGCGTTATAAGACTCTCAAAAATACGAATACTGCCATTGTATTCTGTGACGAGAAGGAAAAGGAAGTGCACTTGAAGCCCCGTAATCGGCGGCAAGACGATCCACTGGCCTGCCACAATGTGCTGGCGGCAGCATCAGCGGCCAGTCTTAATGGGATATTAGGTGCTACATCGCCTGAAGATTCGAACCAATTTTGCAGGACAATGATTGGCTTCATGCTGCACTCATGTACACCGTTTGTGCGAGCGAAAGTCCTGGACGTTGTCACAAGACAACGATTGAAGGAAATTACTATTGCCAACCGGGCTCTGATCATTCGTGCCATTCAACAATGTTTGCTGTCAACTTTGATTCGTGACAAAGCCGTTTTGCACACAGCGGCTAAAAATGTCGTCTGCGGCACTTATGGACTCGAGCTTTCGGTTTTAAAAGAAAAGATTCACGCAGACGAATGGTTAGTTATTGATAACGTTGATCATACGCCCTTCAAAGACAGCGGAGCATCGGAAAATGACACATTTTATCGAAAGACGCGCGCGAAGGAAGAACTTCTACATACAGGAGATCTTATTCAGTTGATATTCGAGAACAAGAATATAACAGAAGTTGTTACCATGATGCAGCATATCGCACTGGAGAGTCTCAAAGTAAAGACACAGCAGCCCAACCTTGTAAAAGTAGTGAGTGATATTGACGACACGCTTTTTCCTGGTTGGATTGACAAGCGTTACCCTCTTCACGTTCCATACCCCGGTGTATCAAAATTATTCGCGCGGCTTTCGCGAGGACTGGCACTAGACCCAAAAGGTGGTGGTGTGCGGCCCACTATTACTTTCCTTACGGCACGACCTCGTGGGTGGCTCAGTGTCGGTCGTTACTTGACACTGCAACACTTAAAGAAATTGGGCTTGCCAAATGTCACTGTACTAAATGGATCAGTAAAAGGCCTTGTGAGTAACAAGAAAATAGCTAATCTGAAGCTGGACAACTTTTTTCGCTTCGCAGCTCTCTTTCCAGAGTTCAAATTTGTTTTTTTTGGTGACTCGGGCCAAGGAGATGCATTACTTGCTTCACAACTGCTTAAACACTGCTCAGAACAAGTTCTTGCTACTTTTGTTCACAACGTGAATCCAATTTTTGCTCGAACGGGTGACGGCGGCTTAAAGCGAGACTACACTGCGTAAGGTATTAGAATTTGGTCTTTTCTGGTATCTAGCTGATTATTTATGCTTGGTGATCATAGCAACGGCGTCGATTTTTTCGAGACGTTTGCAGGAGCTGCATTAGCTGCACATAAGAAAGGGTTACTTTTAGCTGAGGACGTATTGGCAGTTGCTGATGCCTCGAAAAAGGAATTAGATGCCGTTCTTTTTTGTGGGCCTGAGGCTGCAACGATGAAGGCTAACCGGTACCGCGAGCTGCTGCAAGACCTAGACTTCATCGATATGTACATGAATGTCAAAAAAGCGTGAGCATTTTTTTAATGAGTAGAGCTGCTGTTGATGTAAAAAGATTGCGATAAATAAGTAAACCCTGTGCCTCTTCGAGGTATAAAATCTGACTTCATCGATCAAGAGAAATCGCGAGTGCGGTGCTTTGTTTGCACATAATTTATGGGGTTTTGCTTATAATATATCAATGTAGTACACGCCGAAAGGAATTTTTTTAAGAAGACAGTCGCTCCAGGCATGCACAAATCTTCCGATGCTTTTAGCCACTAATGGGCACGTTGGTCCTACCAGTTCACGACCATAGTGGAATCTCACAACTTCGCCGGCATATAGCGATAACCTTTATTAGGACATATAAGGGGGCATTTTAAGGATGGACAAGGTACGTCTAAATTACAACAATAAACGCCTCTATCTTACGGTAATTTACTTAATACGTGACAGCGCCGGACGATTTGTCGAGTGTTAAAACGAGCGCAGTTAAAACTGAAATCAGGAGATTCATCCCGTGTATAGATACAATCCACTTGGTCCGCGGGTAGACAAACGCTACAGGCGAAGAATCATGCACGGCTTGTTCCGCGACGCTTCATTTTCGTCGGGTGATACGTTGTCGGAGGAAGTGTTTCCACTGCTATCGTTGCTACTATTATCAGTCTCCACGCTATTGGCACTGCTGGGATTGTTGCTGGTGGTTAAATTCACTCGCGGCGGTGCAGCGCTATCCCAACACTTCTGCATTACCGGCAAAGATGTAGATAATTGCGTATTTGAAGAGGACAATGGCGATGACCCCGATGATGATGAGGAACCGCTTTCACCACTAGTTCCACTGATACTGGAAGGTGTACTAGCCCTGACAACATGCAGACCACCGTTCATATCATCATTATCGGCTTCACTACTACTGGTGTCACGTAAGCGATACAGTACGTTGTTTGGTGAATTCGGCCAGTCAATAATGAGGTGGCGAACGGACTGTTCTACGCGAGATTGGAATTTGCGCACAAGCGCAGTCGCGACATTTTCCGGTAGCGACGAGCGATGCTTCAGTGCTGTTCGTTTGAGAAGATCGACCAGCTCGGTGAAAGTCAGCAATACACCCATGTCAGCACGTGCGTGAATCACTCGAATAACCCCGGCCTCATCTTCAAATGGAATGTAATTGGGTTCACAGGGTGCATTGAGCTTATGCTGCTGGCGCTTTTTTAAACGCCGATGAAGTGCTGCGAAGTGCACTCCGTGCGCTTTAGCAGCGTTACGCAGACTCATTCCATGAATAGCAACATCTTCCATAGCGGCTTCCCAAACTTTAGCGGGTACCAAGTTGCTCTGACGGTAGTTGCGATCGATAGAACTATTGCCCGTACGGTCGTTACTGTATTCAGAGCTTAGCTTTCGATGATACTCGATTTCTTCTGTTGATTGATGCGACTGTTGAGGTGAACATACATGCTGTTGATGAATGGAGCTGCCAACCCCATTAACGTCTTCCCAAGCGTATAAATTACGAAGGTGCACCGGTTTTTGCCCCAGCGGGGAAGTCGGAGACAAACTACTTAGCTGACGATAGCTGGGACTCTGGATCCATCGCTGCGTATCACCTCCGCGTTGAAAACCAAAAGATTGTTGTTCTTGCTCGCAGCTTCGATTGTACCGATCCTGAGGCAGCTGTTGTGACGTGAGCAGGCTTTTTAAGCTGTGACCACTGTCAGTTCTACTCCTGCTATTAGCATCATCCATCTCGTCCACATTGACGAGGTCGTTTTCGCGCTTGAACATGGAAAGCCAGCAAGTTGACGGAAATTTCGATGGTAGCGATCGGCCATTCTGGCTAACAATTCCGCGCACAATGTTAATAATGTCGGAGTCCGTGTAGCCTTCAAATCGGTTAAAGCGTTCATCGTTGATCGCGTAGTTGTCATACTGCTGTGAGAATCGCTCACGTAGTACAAACATGATTTCGTTGTTGAGCTCGGGCGTGAGCTCACAAAATGGTGGTGGCGGTGTCATGACGGAAGTCATAGGAACCACGCTCGGCAACTGTCTACCATTTGGGCTGCGTTGGTCGAGCGCCTGTGGATTAAGGCGCGGAAATACGTAGCTATCGTTAGATGACACGCCACTGCTGTTAGCGACTGGTAGCGCGAAGCGTCGCTCATCGATGTTGTTTGGGCTGGTGGCGGACTGCCGCGGAGAATGGCGTAGATGCTGCAGCGTATGTTGACGAACGAGACGATGGAGTGCTGCCTGTTGGAGGCCATATGCTTGTGAAGCTTGACATAGCGACATGCGGCGGTTGATTACGGCGTGAACAGCTTGTGCCCAAACGCGGTCGCTTACGGGACTAGAGCGTTGTATGTTACTCATCACGGCTTGTTCTGTCCGGGGCGAGATCTGTTGTGCGTCTTCTCTCTTGCGCGGTCGGTTTCCCGCGTTCTGTAGCGTTCTTTAGTGAAAAAAAGCTGCCTCCTTGCCCTAAGTACGAAGATGCCATAAGAACAAACAGTATTGACCGACCTTACCATATCGAATCTGAGACAAGTTTTTCTGAGGCGGATGTATTGTTTCCCGTCCCAGGTGTAATAGCGTTCTTGGGAAATCGTGAACAGTAGGATTATTCATCGTACGCAATAGCTTATATCTTAGACAAGTTTTGGCTCGAGATCTTGTGCACCTTGAATCTGCGCTACCGCTAAAGTGGATAAGACTAATGCACTATGAACCCTTCTCCACTTCACTGGCTTGCCGACTACGGGTAACAGCGTGGGGCTCAAGAACTAGATGTGCATGAATTTGTCTTTAGCATCGCGAATGATAATTGCTTAAAAATCCTACGTGTGACTCGGAGGATCACAAGAGTAACTTGCATTTATTACGCTTTTTAAAAGTCGGACCTGTATCGCAATCGCTTGGATAAGGTAAACAGATGGTCGGGCGACCTCAAAATATGTGTACTGTAATTTAAACAGCCACAACGTTGGGGGTTACTCTTCTTGTTTACGGAGTAATTAAGAGTCACGGTCCAATCAGCTCGCTGGCGGATTATGTTCGTTTTAGGCACATAAGTTTTGTTAATATTTAACAAGATAGGAACAATAACTATAATACTCACAAAAAATATTATATTTTTCAGTGTGATTTTGTACTTATGCTGTAGATACGACAAATAAAAGTGATGCCGTACAACTTTATCGACACAGACTTTCCAACATCACACTCAGCATACTCAAACATCCCTGAGCAAACGCTATCTACCATACTCACAAGCCTGGCAAGTCGTTTATTGATTCGCTTGCCGCACGCGATTTTCGAAAAGCTAAATACGTAAGACAAATATGTGTACCGGTTTTACCCGTTCTGCCTACACCGGATAACTCTTAAAAATGGTTTTATCGAATAACCAGTTTTGACACCTTGCATTCTTGGTACGCCTCTTGCGATATCATTGATGTTTCGCAGTAAAATGGTGGTAATCAAGTATCGTGGCGAAGTACAGCTATTGGTATTGACTATATCAAAGTTACGTTACTCTATTCTCGAGATGTTTTTGATTTTTGCTGATTACATTTAATTTGAAACATATTTCTTTGCATTGGTACCATGGCTCCTGGCGTATCGAAATATCCTTTTCAAAAAGCAGTTACGAAGAGCAACCGCGATAAAACGTGCTCTTGCTCACGATGTTTGCATTTAACAAACAATACACGCCTCTACAAGCCAAATCTCATCAATATAGTAAGTAAGATTAGCAGCCGGTGTTTATCTGACAGCATCACAATTTTCGGTGGAGAGCGGCTGTCAATATAACTCTACTCTTCCACTAGCACTTCGTAGCAAAATTGATGATTTTATATCGAAATGATCAAGTGTCATGCGACGAAATCTCGACGCTGTGGAAGAGATCCGAGGGCGAAAAACATGCAGGTGGCTGGACTCGCATTGTATGTTAAGGTTTGATCTATACGCATAAGTCTGTCGGAACACGCAGTGTCAGCAAGCTAAGAATTATGGTCCATCCTAAATACATAAGGCCTTCTCTAGTCGTAGCCACAAAGAAATTTAGTTACTAGCGCGTAAAACCCGGCTTTATAGTAAGCTCAAGATTTAGGCAGCATCTTTAGTAGCAGTCACATGAATATGAGCAGGGTTGCTGACAGCAAAAGCTGGAGTTGGTAAGCATTCATATTATCGTCAGCGTCGTGCTCCGTGATTCGCAAACTCAAATTTCAAGCAACGCTTTTATAGAAAAGTTTGCTGTGCTGAACCGGTCTACAGAGTTGCAAAACTTATGCGGCCACGTGCATTCTTCCTCAATACTCAAATTGTTTTAATCAGTCCTTGGGAGTCGCTGACCTCGCGGAAGGGACAGAATTACCATCACTGGTGAACGGAGTGGAGATCATCGGGAAAAGAAAGCGCGCTCGGTCGACATTGAGCACACGACTAGCACTTCATTTGAGCGGAAGGCTCATACGCACATTTGCTTAAGGGCTTTGCTGCGGCGCCAGGGGGTGACCTCCGATAGATCAAAGCTGGAGTTGACACTGTCAAATACGTAGCAGCTGAAACAGTAATCACTAGGACCTTTGCGCATGTGGACGGGCAAGCTGGGACCGCCAATCAGACCAGCTCGTAAGGACAAGCCGGACCTCAATTTAGGTTCTGGATGGGATGTTACAACAACCATCACCGTATGCAACAGGCATGGAGTGTGCGCGCAGTGCAAAGGTGGAGTGGTCTTAGAGAGTGTTCCATCATCGAAATAAACCATAGACAGTAATTGATGTGGCCATACGGCAAATACTCGACGAACCGTTCTTATTGAAGAACAATTTCACCGAGTAAATATTTCAAGTCGATATCGGTTGCTTACTGTGCCATTAGACTCTTTAAAGCAGTCTTCGAGTAATGTATCAGCAATATGTGCCTTTGCTTAAGTGATGGCGATGATTATACAGTAGTCGGCGTCTACGTCGCCGATCATTTGGTCGCGTCAAAAGTCTGCGGTGGTTGAGCAATTCTTCGTTGCGATGACCTCACTTTATTATAACATTTAAGACCAGTGTTATAGTAAGTCGGTGTAAGTGCAGCGGGGCTGCCGCAGCTCTTTGCTTGAAGGAAGCTAATCTAAGGTCGCCTACCTTACGTTCTTTCCAAGAACTAGTGCGAGTGTAGCGGATCGCAATCCGCTATCTCCATTTACCAAAACCGTTAGCAAGGCAAACGGACACTTCTGTTCAAAATCGAAACCGTATTAATCAATTGTTTTAGCTGCGGCAGGGCCGTCAATATCTTAAACCCTAGGCTTTCCTAGTAAATATAGTAATACCTAATCAATCTGATTAATATAGTAATATGCATTACTACTGGCATTCCTGCCACGTAGCGGCATCTTGTTACGGTGTAGCCATACCACTGTGTGATTACATAGTACACATCTATGTACGATCGCAGAATCTTCTGCGATCCGCCCTTTCGTACAAGGGCACGTGTAACCCCTGTTACGCTCTCCCCATCAAAATTGTGAATATCCTCTATATGCATTTGACGGTTGCCATACGAGACACGCGTGTCTGAGACACCCTCAAGTTCTTAAGTTTAGCTTTAAACCTTCTCCGTTCTATGGGCACTGTGTCCACGACACGCACAACACCCAGCCTGGTTGGTTCCGAGGGCCCGCGGGCAAGGCCCTTCTTCTTCTGCACAGGGTGCACCTCTGGACAGAACGTCCGCGGCCTCACGGTAAACACATCCCAAGCCCTCGGCAACTGAGTGCAACACACCGCGCCCGCCTCGGGCGACAAAATTCGAGCTGGAGGAGTCGACTACGAGTCGGACACTCCTTTCCCAACATGGAATGACGATGAAGATGAAGTGCGCCAACGGCGCAACGTGAGCCCAGATCAAACCCTGCGAACACCATGTCCGTTCCCCGATTTCTCGGCGTCCGGTGGAAGTGGTATTATTACCAATCGTCTTGACGAGGCGCAGGAACAGCATTTGGAGGCTGCTCACATAGCCACTCTCCTGCGCTGTATCCACGTTCGGTCTTAGACCCTCGTGTGGAATAAGGCTTCTGCTCGGCGGTCCCGCTGCTGAAGCAAAAGCCGCGATCACTCGATCGTTAGGCGTCTTCTTAGTCGGGCCTCCGGCCACTACAAGCTGAGCTTGATCAGCGGAAGGCTCTGCGAGCTCGCTTTTGGTATCCAGGAGATCGTAATGGATCGATACCGACTTCGAGCTCAAAACGTAGGTGCTCCTGTTCCCACAATGCAGACTATTCCAGTTTTGCTAAACACTGGCGAAACCGCCGCAGATAACGATGAGCGCTTTGAGCGATGGGTGCAGAGGCACCGGAAACTTTCTTCGCTGTCTATCTTACAGCGAAGCTACTAGGAAGTGGACGTTCGCGTTGAGCGCCATCTCAGATTTGGGTTAGACAAACTCAAAATGCAACGCCGACCTCCTGCGAATTGTCGCCCAGCGACATATGGAACAACCCATAACGGTCCCGCGAGCTCTGTGGTTTCTCACACGGGTGAGTCTACGACCACAGCAGCTCAGAACCATAGGTTGGGCTCAGCGCATGGCCCTTCGGCTTCCCGAGCTACTGCCGAGAAGCTCGGTACGCAAGGCGACGCGAAGCGGCGTGATCCTTCTGATCATAGGCGCCTACGACGTTTGGACAGTCTTGCCGAAGTGGCACCTCAAACTTCCACGAGTTTTCGAAGTTTGGGTATCCCCGCCACTTCACAAGGTACTGGTTTAAATCCCGTCGACGACGTCGACCCACAAGGCTTTCAACGATGTAGTGGCCACCATTACCATCGAGAAGAGTCGGTGGCGGAAGATGACGACTTGGTCATCCGCCGTCCGGTGACTCGCGATGCTCTTCGAGCGTTGGAGGACAAAGTCCGTCGTCATC